TTTTTTCTTAAAAATAAAATCTTATGTGTCATTTTCTAAGAGTGCCATATAAAATTAGGGTGTCACAAATTATCTCATCTATTTTTAAAAAGAAAAAAAATGAAAAATTGTCTTTAAGTTCCTGAAGTTAATCTAAAAAGTAATCTGCTCAAAAGGTCATTTACATTTGTCCAAAAATTTAATTTGGTGCTTTACATTAAAAACTCACTCGTTTGGTCCATTACATTTGTCTTTTCAACTAATTCGGTCCTTTTTATCTTTTTTGGCCCTTTACATTTGTGAGTTCTTGGGTTGACCAATTCTTTGTCAACTCAATAGGGGCATTTTTGGTAATTTATAAATATCAGATTTTTAAAATATGTCAAAAACCAAAAATGTATTAAAATAATACTAAATATATTATATTAATTTATAATTTATTATTATAAATTATAAGTTAATATAATATATTAATTATATTATATTATATTAAATTTTTTAATATAATATTCTATATTATAAGTTAATATAATATATTTAGTCGATCGGCGTCTGTCCGGCAGCAGTGGTGGGAGGTCTGGCGGCGGTGGAGGTAGAACGGTGGTGATATAAAAATATTAAGAAAAAAATAAATTCATAATACTAAACATATTATATTAATAAATAAGAAAATAATTTTAAAAATTCAAATATAATATTATTAAAGAATTAAAAAAATGAAAAATCCAAAATGAGATTTTTTTTTTTACCCGTCAGTCCCAATCGAAATTTTTTACCTTTGAATTATTCTGTTTTTATTATGTGGGGCTAACATCTAATTTTTTTCTTTACCCTTATTCAGTGTTCTTAAGAATAATTCATTGTTCAATGTTCTTAAGGGCCAACATCTTATTCAGTGTTCTTAAGAAAAAAATAATAATGAATAAGGGTAAAGAAAAAAATTAGACTTGGGCTCCATATGATAAATTACATTTCAAATCATATCTCAAACTCAAAGTAAAAAAAAAAAAAAACTAAACCAAAAACTAAAATAAACCATTGTCCAAATAAGCCCTCTGTTTTTATCATGTGGGGACTACATCTAATTTTTTTTCTTTACCCTTATTCAATTTTTTTTTCATGAGTTATTTTGGTACAACGAAAAAAAATAATACTGAATAAGGGTAAAGAAAAAAATTAGATGTTGGCCCCACATGATAAAAATAAAATAATTCAAGGGTAAAATGTTTCGATTGTGGCCTACGGGTTAAAAAAATCAGATTTTGATTTTTTGATTTTTCAATTTTTAAATTTTTTAATAATATTATATTTGAATTTTGAATTTTTAAATTTTTTTCTTTTTTATAAATTAATATAATATGTTTAGTATTGTTTTAATACATTTTTGGTTTTTAACATATTTTAAAAATCTGATATTTATAAATTACCAAAAATGCCCGTATTGAGTTGACAAAGAATTGGTCAACCCAAGAACTCACAAATGTAAAGGGCCAAAAAAGATAAAAAGAATCAAATTAGTTGAAAAGACAAATATAAGGAACCAAATGAGTGAGTTTTTAATATAAAGGACCAAATTAAGTTTTCGAGCAAATGTAAAGGATCTTTTGAGCAGATTACTCTAATCTAAAATACCCAAAAATCTCCATTGACAGAGACAAATTTGCAATTACTGACGGCATTGTTTTCTAATCCCTTCCTAAGTATGTGCGTATATTTAGAAACACTTCATATCCTTAACAAAACATAGATAAAGTATAACTAGATGTTTGGCCTAGGCAGATGCCCGGACGCCCCTTCTAAATTACTATTTTATTAAAATCTAATTGAATTACTATTTTTTAATGAATTAATTTGGCGTATATATCATTTATGCTATGGTTTGGGGCTTAAAAAAAATATGCCTATAAATATGAGGTTATAAGGGAATAATAAATAATTAGTTTATAAGGCATTATTCTTAATTACTGGATTTAGGTATTTTTATTTTTTATTTATATTAATCCTGCAAAACTATACGATTGGACATTTGAATTTGAATTGATATATCCATTCGTTAGAAATGTAACTGATCCTTATTTGTAGTAAAACATGTGTTTTTTTTTTTTTAAAAAAAATTATATAGCTTGTAATTAAAAGAGACTTACACGTGGCGAAAAGACTCCTGAAATCTGAAATATGGTGCATTGGAGCCAAAACAGATGCATACTTAGTTGCCACATAAGCTTCATGTCTTCTGCTTTAATAGGGTAAAAGGGATGTATTTACTCCCTCCGTCACATAATTATTGTCCAGTTTTACTAAAATGAAAGATTTTATTTTTGGTCAAACTTAACTATATTTTACCTTAAACAACCGGATATACCCCTACATAAGTAATTGTTTAACCACTAAGATTTTATGGATAATGTTTTTTACTAAGGATAAATGTGTAACTTGATCCATAAAAAGTCAAATTGGACAATAATTTTGGGACAAAATTTTTTTGGCAAAGTGGACAATAATTATGGGACGGAGAGAGTACTATATTTCAAAATAATTGTCATCAGACAGTTTATAAACGGTTTAAAAAATGTTTATATAGACTCAATAAATTACCAGATTATCTTTAACTATCCCACTAAATAAAAAATAATAACCTTTGATACTGTTTCTTTTGAGAATAATTTTGGAAGATCGAACAAATATCGCACTGAAATCTGAAAAGAAAATTATTTTAGAATTCTTCTATTCTATTATAAGATATTTATTTTAGAATGGAGGGAGTAACAGATTTTAAAATTTGAAAATATTAATTAGTCGAAGGTAATCCACATAACCGCAATTATACAACAACGGGTTACAACATTGACTGGTTATCATAGTAAAATTCCTTCCAACTTTTGATAAATTACATGTTTAATATAAAGAAGCTACAAAAACTTATATTACCCGTGTCAATGAAAAATAGTCCAATTTAAAAATTTAAAATTTAAAAGATGACTTAATGTTAAAATAATAATAATAATAATATGAACAATTGAATAACTTTCCATGACTACTTATCAATTTAATAAGCAATTTTAGGTTATACCAATCTCATACATATGTCCAATTTTAAAATACTAAAATTAGACTATTTTTCTGAAGGAGATGTAGTAAAAAGATTAGATTATAAAAAGGTTGAGTATTTGAAAAATAACACTCACCAAATCATGGAACCAAAATTAGGAAATCATCCGCACTCATATATTTGGTTCACACATATATTAATAATTAATAATTAACACTTTGAAGATCACCCTTAAGGATCGGATACAGGTCTAATTAACATGACATCAATTTACACGTACAAATACCAGGCTCACTCCGCCAATGATACATGTAAAATTATGCCACTGATTACTTCCTGTAAAAAATATAGTACCCAAAATATTCTTCATTTCAGATTTTCACTTTATTACACTTTCAGTTTAAATTTTGATTTTTAATAAAAAGTAAAATTCTAAAATGAACAAGAACTTTGGGATAGAAAATATAATAATAATATAATCATAAGGTGTTCTTTTTAGATTTTTTTTTTTATTTACAATTTGCAAATCTTTTTTTTGGCTGTCGGGTCAATTTGATGCATGTGTATCCCTTATTGCAATGCTCAAATGGCGTTTTTGACAATGCAAGTAACACCTAATTAACTTGCTCGTGGCTGGAGACTCTTGCTTTCTGGCATTTCTCAAAAATAATCAATCGAGGATGAGGATAGTGGTTCGTTATGCATAATAAACTAAGATGATCCATGTATAGAGATCAATCGACTAATGGAACAATCACCCTTCCACAAATCCAACATAATATATATTTTATGCACTGCCATTTAAGTTGTTAGTATCTGGGCTTCATGAACGAGAATAAAATCCTCTTCTAAGCATCGGAAAATCATTATGGAATCTTTTTTCAACATAAGACTATGTGTGTCAGGTAATATTTCGATTGACAAATTGTTCTTCATGTTTCGCTTTGCCGAATGATGAAAAATCATAGATTATTTTTTTTTCCTTTGTTAAAATATATACATAAAAAAATGGTAGTCCCGAAATTGTTGTCCAATATGAATTTTTATTTTTAGTACAAATTGAACTAAACATTAAAATTTGAACTAAACAATAATTTTGGGATATAGAGAGTAATATTTTTACAAATGAAATCATGTGTGGACTTTGTTTTGTTTTCCAAATGGTAATACTCTTTGTACTCTTGCATGGTGTCAAAAACAAAAATTCCCATGTCATGAGACATTTTCTTTTAATATTCAAATTTTAAACAAATATTATTTCACAAATTATGATTTATATGCATGTGTTATATATTTTATATGTTATAGATAGTTCGTAAAAGTATTTTGATCTAACCCGTACATAGCACGAGTTTAACATCTAGTTTATTTAAAAATAAAAATAGATGTAAAGATTTTGAAGTACAAATTACCAGTCTGTTGAATAGTCCACTCTTTGGAAAAGAATAATCGACAAAGTGAAAGTAATATAGAAACTATGGATAATTTTTAGAAAATACCATGTTATAGACAAATAGAGTCACTCTCGAGTTTACGACTTGAGATAAGAACAATAATAATATTTGTACAAGTTGATCGCAACTTGCAATTATTCGTGTTGCTTTTTACTCATGGACGATTTCTAACATTTATATTGCATCGTTGCATCGCATGTATCATAATCATCTACAATCGTTTACCCAATATTTTTTTTTTGAGTATAATATCATAATTTTAAATATAATACTTTTATTCAACTTTCCACTACATTTGTTTACACTTAAAAAATATAACAAAAAAAATATTTGTTGAAAATATCATCATAAATTCACATTAATTATATTTTAACCCCAAGATGTATATTATACAATGTAAGAATTTTTATACCGTATAATATTATCACACTCAAAACAATGATAAATCGTATAATAAAATAGCTATTTACTAACTATTTACCATCGTTGTGGTTGCTCTAATGAAAATGCATAATACACTTGTAACTATTATATGGTAAGGGTAGTATTTCCCCCATTTTAGATTGTACCTTAATTGCATTTCTTCAAAGATCAAACACGTTACTTAAGAAAATGAATAAATAAAAAAAGAGCATCACAAAAAAAAAAAGAACCAAAATAATTATGGCAAGTTTTGTGATCCTAAAACTTTGAGAAAGATGATAGTTTAGTTGTAAGGGTTAGGATAACCAACTTGTCATATTCACTTTCATATATCGTCAATGGAAGTCTCTACATAATTACAAAAATCAACAATGCAAAGACTTGGAATAAAAATAAGTCGTTGCAGTTTTTTTTTCCACAAAGAGACTGAAAAATCGACGTAGACCATATGTTGCGTTGCGTAGTGGAGGATAAAATAAGTGTAATAATAAGTGTGCGTGAAATATCATCATCATCATCACCGAAAACCAAAGATCATGTATTGGTCTTTTGTTGTTTTTTTTTTTTTTTGAGTAATTAAACATCTAGACTACTATATATAGATGGGGAATTTGGATATCAAAGCTATTCTGCTGGTAAGTGAAAGACGAGCTCTCATGAAATTTAAATGAAGGTCTTGTTGAATGTTGATCAAATCAATTGCCATCATAGATTGGTGAGAATTGTTGTAAGCGGGATGGAATTATATATTTAAATATCTTAATTATTAACAAACGCTATAGCGCATAATACACAAAAGAGTGACACACTAAATATGAATTTTCGATACACAAGAGAGAGAGAGAGACTTTAAAAAACCGACATCGAACATATATTACGCTATATATAGCCATTTGTGTCATTGACACTATGTATGGATTCTGGATCGATCCATCACAAACTCTAATGATCAAAACAATTTGGAATATGCCCACTCAAACTGTTATTGGCCAATTTTAGAGTTCCGAGGTTTGGCAATTGGCAGAGCTGTAAAGGAATATTACCATAGAAATGGTTGGATTGAAATCTTAGCTCCTCCAAATTTGATAATTCTTCGCCGATCCATTCCGGTATGGTACCTCTAAGTTGATTTTCACTGAGATCAAGATAGTACAAATTTTTCAGCTTCTTGAATGATGACGGAAGCATGCCGTTGAACCAGTTCGAAGCAAGCCTAAGATATTGTAATTGTGATAGCTCTTCGCCGATCCCTTCAGGTAGGGTGCCATTAAATTGATTTTTACTGAGATCAAGATGGTACAAATTTTTCAGCTTCTTGAATGATGACGGAAGCATGCCGTTGAACCAGTTCGAAGCAAGCCTAAGAACTACTAATTGTGATAGCTCTTCGCCGATCCCTTCAGGTAGGGTGCCATTAAATTGATTTTTACTGAGATCGAGAAATTCTAAATCTTTCAGCTTCGTCAAGGATGAAGGAAGCATGCCCTGGAAGTTGTTTGATTGCACATAAAGCTCCCTCAATTGTGATAGCTCACCAATCCATTCTGGCAGAGTGCCGTTGAATTTATTTACGCTGAGATCTAAATGAGCTAGAGATTTCAAGGCCTTCATTGATGATGGCAACATTCCATTTATACTATTCATCGATAGATTCAGCCATTGAATTCGAGAAAAGGTAGTCCCCAACCACTCAGGGAAGGCATCTGCAGATATATTGGCATTTGCCATATCTAACGCTAAAAGTTCCTTTTGGTTTTGAAGCCAGAGAGGGAATTGATTCCCCATGTTTAAGGAACTCATTCGTATGGTCCTCAGTTGAAATGGAGGGATCCATTGAGAGCATATGTTGACAGTAAGATTTTGGTTCTCCGAGACGTAGAAATATTTCAAATTTTTTAGTTTCAAAAGATGCAGTTCGGAAATCTCACCCGTCAACTGATTACCCCGAAGATCTAGAAATTCTAGCTCCGAAAGTTCTCCAAAACTTGTGGGAATCGAAGAGTTGAAAGAATTAGAAGACAAGTCGAGATGAGTGAGTTGTTTGAGATGACCCAACTCACTGGGTACCTTTCCTCCAAGTTTGGTTAAGTGCAGATTAAGTACTTTAAGAGAGGTCAAGTTCCCAAGGCAAACCGAAAGTGATCCTCCAAGTTCATTGGAACTTAGATCCACAGAAACTAGGCTTGTGTGGTTGCACAATGAATCTAACAACCATGAAGAATTGATGAAATAGTTCATACTAATGTCAATGACCGTTAAGGACCTGAATTTTTGTAACGTGTAAGGGAATGGAATGTTGAACTTATTATCGTCAAGCCTAAGTACTTGAAGATTGATAGTAGTAAGATTAGAAAACCAGTTCAGTAGCGAGGGAGATTTCAGATAATTCATCCCAAGGTCAAGCGAAATAAGAGATGTAAGATTGAAATGAGAAGGAAGAAGAGGATGAGAAAATAGATTTCTATCTGGTAATCTGCACCATCTTAATTTCAAAGAGGACAAAGAAGGAAGCATGTTAACTGAATCCAACCAATCAACACATCCACTTAGGTCATTTCCGGAGAGATCTAAACTCCTTAAGAAAGAAAATCTGGTAACCCACTCAAGGTTGTTGGACCATAAGAAATATTTGTAATGATTCCATCCATCATAAACATACCCACATATATCTAGATGCTCTAATTTAGATAGATTTCCAAGATGAGGAGGAATCTCTCCTTCCAATCCCGCAACAGAAAGATTTAAGTATCTCAAATTTTTCAAAGACCCGAAACATTTTGGAATTTGAAATCCTGAAAAATTGTTGGAGCTGAGATCCAGATAAATCAAGTTCTCCAAATCACATATACAAGGATTGATCTCACCCACCAAGGAATTGTTATAATAATCATCGAAATTGTTGTTAAACGGCGGGTGGTAGTGATCATAATAAGGAATGATGGGATTACGAAGATCGAGTTTCACAACGTGCCCAGTGAGATTGTCACATGCAACTCCATCCCAATTGCAGCAATCCTTACCTATCCATGATGACAAGCGATTTGCATGATCAACAAGAATACTTCCTTTAAATTTCATGAGAGCTCGTCTTTCACTAACAATGCAGCCTGCATCACTTGAATAAACAGAAATATTAATATCATCATGGCTGCACACAGATTGAAACTGCTGGAAGGTAACTAAGAAAAGAAACAAGATGATGAGAAGAACAGCGTTGATAAACAAATTCCCCATCTATATATATGTATGATACTAGATGTTTAATTTACTACTCGAGAAAACACAAGACCAGTAGTTTTGATGATGATTCACTTTGACGCACACATATCACTTTGCATTTTTGCTATCTTATTTATAACTGATGCTTTATTCCTCCAGTGCGTGACATATGGTCTAAGTTGATTTTTCAAAGTCTTTGTGGAAAAAGAACTAAAAGCATCGACTTCATTCTTTTTATCCAAGTCTTGGCCGTGTTTACTTTTGCAAACATAGGGAGACTTTCATTGACGATGAATGTGAATATGACAAGTTAGTGCTCCTAGCACTTACAACTAAAATATCATCTTTCTCGAAGTGTTAGCAAAGAATAATTTTTAAAAAAATACGAAAAGGAATGAGCTCGATTAAGTCACGTCCATTGAATTTTATTTACAGTATGCAGATGTAACCACTTTGTGATTAACTTTATGTCCTTGTTGATAATGATATGTGAATTCATTAAGTTTTTTTTTTAAAAAAATTACATACATTTCTTAGTGTTTTTCTTTTGGACACCATTTTGTAGTGTTAGAAAATGATATCAAGATGCCTACGATGGAGATTAGGAACTTTAGATTTTGATACGCGAATAATTAAAGTTATAACATAAACGTAATTTCAGATTCCAACTGGAGAGGGGAAGTCCATAAAAACAAAACTGATCTTCATATACTAGGAAGCCAATATAATTGACAAATTGAAGTAATGCAAAAAGTATCAGAAATCTTTAGAAACAGACCGACCCCAAACTATATGTAAACAAGGGATACAAATATAGAACAAAATTAAAGCATGGTCACAAGCATTCTCGGAAAACTGCTGTTCAAAGAGTAGGCAAGATATACATTCTCCAGTCAAATTTCTAGTCCTTTTGTTTTTTCGATTGGTGCCAAAAGCACGAAAAGTTTTGATCAAAACAACAAGTGCGCAGTAGCCATCATCTTCAAATTCACCCTGACCTCGAGCCTCGAAGCCCGGCGAAGATGTTGTGTGCCACGGCTCGACGGTTCCGTTCTCTCTGCTTATTATTCTGTCACCGTACCACCGTCTGGTGGTCCTTCGGACAGTCCATGGACCTTTGCTGCTCTTATGCAACCCCATCGGGCAGTACTATTCCCACTTCTGTCTTCTGTCACTTCCAGCCATCATCATCATGTACATTCCCAGTTTTTCTTTCCCGGGAGATAAAAATTATACTCCATCCGTTCCATAATTATTGTCCAATTTATTTTCTATTTTTAATTCAGATTGAACTAAAAGTGAAATCTTAAATTGGACAATAATTTTGGGACAGAAGGAGTACTACTTTCTTAGGTTCTTTAATCCAAAAAAAAAAAAAAAAGAAGAAGGAAGAATGTGCGTATCAATAAATGCTGGAAAATGAGTGTGTGTCATCCTTGTGATATTTTGTTTGTCCCATTCTCTAATTTTTCTGAACCTAATCTGGGTAGAATACCAATTCCCAGAAACCAAGCAATTTTGAAAAATTTTTAGTGGTTGTGTTGTTACATGTTGAATTGGCCTATCCAAAGTTGATTAAGAAATGTTCAAACGTTACTGCTAGCTGTGATTCCTCCAAAACTGGAAATGTTATTGGGAATTGATAAGTCCATATCCATCATCTGTGTTGGACCGGCCCATTCAATAAGTTTAAAGTCCAACCAATTCTGTAAAGGCGGGGTAGAGTGCTAAACCTAGTAGGATTTGGACATCTTATATGTCTATAAATAGGCTCAATTACTCCATAATTGAGGTACGCTATCTAAAGAACTGGAAATCTAACCGTTAAAAATCAAGATCCTTTGGTCAGAATGAAGCCTTGTGAGTCTTCTACCACCAGGTAAAATTTCAGGATGATCGGACAACGTTAGCATCTCCGATCGTGACCAAATCCGAACTGCTGCACAGAGAAACCCTTGCTGGGAATTAGATTGCTCCTCTCTGTTTTTGTTCTGTTTCTTTTTTTTTTTTTACTAGACAAAAATGAACTCCCCAATCTGTTTTGGTGTCGCTGACCATTCCCATTTTTAGTGTACAAAATGGGTCTAAAAATATAACGCAAGTTGGGCTAAAAATATGGGCTCTTGACCCACATAGTTGGGAGCCCATCCCAGCAAGTTTGTTCACAGAAAGCTAGCTAGGGGTATAAAACCAGAGGCAAGGCATGATATGGAAGTATGAAGTGGGCAAAGAGAAACAGAACCACACCAATTGAATTACCTATGGAGATTGCTGATGTGCTTCTCTGATACCTGAAAGTTCTTTTAACAAAGATTTCTTGTTTTTACTGGAGCACTATTATATACTCCCTCCGTCCCATAATTATTGTCCTGTTTGAGTTTTCATTTTTAGTTCAAATTGTACTAAAAATAAAATACCAAACTGGACAATAATTATGGGACGTAGGGAGTACATCAGTAAAGACGCCAACATTTGAAAACCTTTAAAAAGCAGTTTTCAGAATCGCAAAGCAAGAAAAGGAATGCTTACAGCCTTACACATGATAAAGAATGAACAAGCTCATTATTTCTAGGATGGCAAACACCATTGCCAGTAACAGTCCCTGGGCAAATTATGCCTTGGGGAATAATTTAAAACAACATTACTAATGCAGATAGAATTTTGGAACTAGGCGTGTTGAGTGAGTATGATCAATATTATAGCACTGTAAACACAGCAAGGAGTCAATCAAAAACAGACACAATCTTCCAATGATTCAAAACAAAAAATAACATTTCAACACTGCAAACTGATCTTGAACGTAAATAAATATATATTACTTAAGCAAAATATAAAGATCCTTTTGAAATCCAATGTTTAGCTAGTTATCTCCAAATTTCAAATAAATAAAGTATGATCATACAAGACCAAGGCATTGATCCAACTATAGTTTACTTGCAAATTAATTGATCACTTATGGCCTTAATGATCATCATCAATAAAGGAAGAAGACCCCAGCCGGATCCTCAGATTTTTTGGCCTCCGATCACCATAAAGGATGGATCATTCGTGGAAGATTTTACGAAATTCAGGGCTGGAAGTTGACCAGTCGCGATCTAAGGTGGTTTCAACCACTCCGCATGCAGTCATTTTAACTAATTTACACAGCACGTAATCGCCATCACATCTACCGGTAATCCCATGGAAGGATGCTGTACTCGATTATAGTAAATCTGTTGTTCTCATATATTGGTGGCACTACGCCGTCAAAGAATGTGAAGTCAAAAGACCTCTTGTACCCTATCACCCTAGACGATGTCCCGCCGCCACTGCCGTCGTAGAGTGCCTCTTTTTCCGTGGTTGGGTGCCAAGTTCCGCATCCAGCCACCAATCGATTGTTATCGTCCTGATTAGAATTTAGTTTCGCGAAGACCACAGCAGAGTCTTGGTTTGCGGTACACCTAGATGAATCGATCACAACTTTCCATCCAAAATGACCCAAGCAGTAGTCTTTGGGAACAAACAATTCTCGGCCCGGACGAATACTACTGTCAGAGCCTTTGCCATTGCCGTACATGTCCACTTCAGGCACGAGCTCAGATTTCCATGTCGGAAAGGTGTCCCTGAATCTTCTTCTCAAGGTAGCCGATTAAGTCCTCCTCTGTGGGATCGAACCTCATTGTCAAGGGTAAGGATAAAGAAAAATCTTCCACCTCCGAGGGATCGTAAGGTAACTGAAAAAAGGGTAAAGTAAACTCCATCGGAACCGGCAAGATTGCTGAAATTAACCTATGATATGATAGTAATAACAATTGAAGCAGAAAGCCAGATCCGCAAAAACAATAAATCCGTAAGAAAGATATGAACCTCTTTTTAAAAGACACAAGATGTTATTTGATTCACAAACCCTAAACTGTCACTGAATCGGAAAATATATTAGTACTTTTTTGGGCCACTGGTTAGGAGTTTTTAACTTTGGAATCGCGATATTGCCAAAACAATTATTGGGTTCGAAATTAAGTTTTTACTTTGTTTCCTAAATTGCCCTTAATTACTTGCAGCTCCCACCTAGTTCATCATTGTTCCCACCCTTTTCCTTTGCAACAATTTAGCATAATCGCGATATTGCCAAAACAATTATTAGGTTTGAAATTAAATTTTTACTTTATTTTCTAAATTGTCCTTAATTACTTGCAGCTCCCACGTAATTCATCATTGTTCCCACCCTTTTCCTTTGCAACAATTTAGCATAATCGTTCCTTTTGTACACTTGTTTTCATCATTCTCACATAAATTTTTTCAATTATGCTCACCCCTTACCCAATTTCAAGTACAAAGTGTTGAAATCAAAGAGTTTTTAATATTTGTGATAGACTGGTTCAATGGATCGATGAGTTCAAACTCTTGCTAGTCCTTTTATAGACTGGTTCAATGGATCGATGAGTTCAAACTCTTGCTAGTCCTTTTAGATCTTAACATCCTACTAATTACTTAATTAATTCGGAAAAAGAAAAAGAAAAAGAAACAACTATCCCATCAATCTCTTTGCTTCCCAACTTGAATCAATACCCTCATCTTCATCTAGTACAGCAAAGTTGGAGTCCAACTCGTAGCCCCACAACTTCTAGAAAAAAAAAGAAACAATATATTTTTTGTGCTTTAAGCAATATCAAAATTAAATGAATTTGTTCACCAAAACAAATTAAATGAATTTTTATCAATCAATTACAACACGTCTAAGAAAATCTTCAAAGAAATGTTGATTTTGTTGCTTGAAAAAGTTAATACAACTATTTCATATACATGAACTTTGTCTATTGATTGTGAATAGTGTTCATGAAATTAATCGTGGGTTTGGGAAAAAAAAAAGAAAGACAAGGAAACAGGAGGAGAGATGGAGGAGGGCAAAACTTGAATGATAAATTAAAAAGGACATTTTTGTCTATTTATAGAAAAATTTATTTTGGATGCTATTATTTGTTTTGGCAATATCATCACCCATAAATTTTTTATCTTGATCATTGGGTTCAGATCCGATCATAAGCTAGTTATAATTAGACTTCCTAAAAAGATTTTTTCTTACTACTATTTTAGTAGTACTAGTAGCACTGTAGTTTCCTATTTACCTAAAACTGATAAGATCTTCAATTAGTGAGGTACCGAGATGTCCGGTGGTTCGTAGAGTTACTAGTGTTACTCCGTT